GGCTGCTTGAGGCAGCAACAAACACTTTTATTTCATTTCATTTCATTTCATTTCATAATTATCAAAAGAAAATAAATACAAAAAATACAAAGCATTCGAAATTGTGACATACCAAAGAGGCAGACAGACAGAGAGACAGAGAGATAGAGAGATAGAGAGACAGAGAGGAGGTGCGGCTCCTCCCAGCGAAACGGAAGCTGCCAGCAGTCCAGTTTGCTGTTCAGTTACGGTCGAGTTGCCATCGTTGTAGTGGGTCCCAGCTACACAGCTCCCAGCTGGATACCAACAGAACCGAACTGGAGTGAGGCTGAGAGCTGAGAGCTGAGAACCGAGCACCGAGCACCGAGAATCGAGCTGCAAAACTATGCACAGTTATGGACACGTACACGCCAAAAAAGAGCGGGGATGGTGCTACAAAGCGGTGCGGCTGGACCTCGATGTGGTGGTCTCCGGGCAAGTGTCCACTCGTGCAAATTATTGTGAAATACGCAAGGAACAGAGCAGAGCAGAGCGGCGGGAGTAGTGGGAGAAATAAGAGAAAGCATTGCATGCTTTACCGAAAAATGAAGTCATCGAAAGAGATGGCCACAGGGTATGAGAGACCAGAGTGTGCGTGTGTGTGTGTGCTGGATGGAACCCTTAATTAAATAAATTCAATATGCGCAACGGGCATCCAAAAGCCACCCAAAAGAGAACCCCCCCAACTGCCACACAGAAAACACATTCCCCAAAAAAGGGAACAGCACACCCCAAACCACCCAAAAGCACAGAACCCAAATATCGTCCTGGGCCAACTACAAAATTATATGGCGAAAATATTCGTTGGAAATCGTCATGGATTTTAATATTTAAAAGCGTTTTCAAAAATTGTCCCCCGTATGGAAGGGACAGCAAGACGAGGGAGAACACAAGAGAACGGAAAGAAGCGGCAGAGAGAGAGAGAGAGAGAGAGGGAGAGAGAGAGAGGAAGAAGCTTGCTGGCAAGTTGGAGCGAAAGAGATCAATGCTGATGCCGGGTGGGTGGGAGCACAGTCTGGACGTGTGCTGACCAACAGGGCAGGGTCCCATGGTTCAGAGGCCAAATGCATCGACTAACGGGACCAACTCTCTCTCTCTCTCTCTCTCTCTCACACTCATCTTGCTCAACCCTTCGCTCCTTCTCTTTTGCTGCCTGAACTTCCCTTAGCTCTTTGCCCTGTCCTCTGTTTGGTCCGTGTCCCAAAAGTCGAACCCAGAACAGAGAACCCAGAGCCCAGGGACCGGGACTCCTGCCCATCCACAGACCGGACCCAAACCCGTTCATTCGACAGGCAAGCGGCAACATTTTGATAAGCGTCGCTGGACAGTGGCCCGGGCATCCACTAACCACCAACCAAGCCAACCCAACGACCAACCAAATGAAATAAAAAAGTAACAGCTCCACCCTGGAGTTCCCACTCCACTCCACACACCCACACACCCACACACACATGCACAGAGAGTTTGAGTTTGGTCGTCGCCAAAAAGGATATTATTTAATGAGCTACACTTTAGGCATTGGACATGGATGAAGAGCCCCACGGTGGCAGGCAGGCAATGTGACCAAGTGTCCAAGTTCGGTGCTTGCCAAATTGAGTTGACCCCTTCGAGTGGCTCTCCCTCACTCTCTCTGTGCATAGTTTTCTATGGCTCAGCCTGCATATTGAATGGAGCGGGTGGTACGTGATTACAAATTCAAGACCGAAACGAATGTGGAATTGAACGGTAAATTAAATGAGCAACAAACTACAGCAGAATCGAGAAGAAGAACCCACTCCGGGACACCCAAGCTCCAATTTTCGAGACTCAGCAGAGACATAAAGAATTGTTTCAGGCCATCGGTTGATGACTGCAAGTAACTAAATATATTCATTAAAAATCATCAAAATCAATCTACTGCTGAAGTAAAAGCTGTAGTGGCGCTGCTAGTTGCAGCTGACAGTTGTCAAAATAAGTTTCTAGAACATGGTTTTAGCTTCTCTGATCGTAGCACCTGGCCACCCACGCCGGTGAAAAAGAAACCATCAGTATACGGACAGAATAAAGTGATAATTATGCACGGAAATCCCGGAAAGATCGGTAGGTCCAGTGTGGCAGAGAACAAAGGTTCTTATAATAGCCTCTTGGCTGTATCCCCCCCGCAGAAGCTCAGAGCCTGAGTGCCAAACGATTTCCTGTCAAATATTCACCTACTACGAGCGGTCCCCGGACCGGCACAACCTCTGCCCATCCTCTTATCGCATGGCACCCACCTTGGCACTGTCAGTGAGAGAGAGGAGCGAGGCGAAGGGAATGTTTGCATAAATTCATAAAATTATTGCCATAATCAACATTATGCATTTGGAACAAACAAAAAACCAGAAACCGCAAAAGAGTTCTCTGACTATGCGGCAGAGGGGTTGGGAGAGGGGATGGGGCATCTGCAGGCTCCGTAATTATGCTCGCTTGATTTGCCAGCAACATTTTCTTTTTAATTATTTATATTTGGGGATTTTTAGGCAGTCAGGCAAGGCAATTCAAAGGCTTTTCCAACTTTTCCTTACGATGCCGCACTCTATCCGCCCTGCAATACTTACGTGTGTGTGTGTGTGTGTGTCTCTGTGTGTGTGTGTTAGGGATGTTATTTGCATACATCAGACTGGCTGGCTGACTGACTGACTGACTGACTGGTAATATCTTTTTATGCCTTTGGAAGCAAAACGGCAACCCACCCATGGCATCAAATCCCATTCCATTTCCCCCACAGGCATCAGGCATCAGGCATCAGACATCAGGAGGCATTGGTCGCCAGGCTCTCTTCTTGTCGTTTCGTTTCGTTTTTTGGGCATGTGTTTTATTAGGCATGTTAATTAAAAGACATGAAATGAAAATAATTAAAAATATGTATAAAAAAACACACACACATCCACACATCCACACACACTCGCTGGCATATACTTAGGAGTAAATGTATTCGTTTCTGTTTCTGTATCCATATCTCTATGTGAGGCAGTGTCTATGTATAAGCAGTGAAAGCAAAACTGGTTTTATTGCTCTCTGTGCCAGATTGTTGTTCGATGGATTCGCTGTAGGAACAACAGGCAACAGGGGTATATGAGGCTGAATGGAACAACTTTTATCAAAAGTAAACGCCATGAAGTGATTCGTCTTAAAGCTCTTTTCCAGTCGCTTGTCGCCGAAGAATCCTGCAGAAGAATTCCTTTCAAAAATGATACAGCAACATACCCTTCTACAGGGTATTCCCGCTGCCTTGGACCCACCCGTGGCCGTCGTATGTGGCCATATGCAAATTACCTGAAAAACTGGAATGAGTCAAATTAAAGGAAATATTAACACAAGCAAAAATAAAATATAAAGGCCTGCAGGGGGGTTGGAGTTGGAGTTGGAGTTGGAGTTGGGGGGATGTGGCATCAATTTTACGCGCAACACTTTTCCTCTCCCTCACTCTCTCTCTCTCTCCCGCTGATCGCCTTATTAACTCATTGCCGTGGTGTCAATTTACACAACAACAGAAACAAAAGGCTGAAATATGGCAACATTACTTAGCTGCCACACCGCCCCATCCCCCTCACATTCCCATTCCCGAACCTGCACACCATTTGCTCCTTAAGGCTTAAGGCTCTTTGTCTCAAATTTCCAGTGCCCCGCGAGTAGGTGATGGAAAAATGCCCGACTCCGTCTTCGTCTTCGACTTCGACAGCGACAGCGACTCCTGTCTCTGGCTCTGGCTCTGGCTTGGACTCCCACTCCTTGGACCCCAATTGGTGGCTACATCTTAAGTGTTGCTAATAACGCCTACAACTAAAAACAGCTGCGGGGTGGGTGGGTGGTTGGTGTGCCCTGCTGCCATGCTTGAGCGACACTTTTAAGAAATTGCAAAGTTTTGGTAACAAAAGCAGACGCCCGCACGGCCCCACCGTCGCACCGTCCCACCGTCGCAACGTCCCACCGAACGACCTCCTTGAAGCGAATCAACCGAATGCTCTGGGCTGGCCTGGAGGGGGGGAGAGAGACTTGAACAATACTTTGATGCGATTTTGCGGATATTAGGTGTTAATTTTTCAAAGAGCCAACGACATCGTACGCCAGTTCCCCACCCCAAGAACAATTTCTCGGAGAGTGGAGCTGCGTCGGGTGTGCCATTTGGTGGCCTGTTGCCATTGCCATGGCACTCTGCCTTTTGTAATTTTAACTGCTTTTGGTTAACACTTTTACGCATTGCCAACTGCTCCACCCCAGTGCCCCACGCTACTTACTGCTGCCAGCCATCGATATCACATGGCAACCTCCTGCCACACCGCGTGCCACAGCGTGCCACAGCGTGCCACAGCGTGCCACAGCACAGCGCGCGGCTGCCCCTTTTGTCTTTTGCCAGCAAGTCATCGATGGGAAAACTTTTTGGCAACTTTTTCTTGGTTCACGTTTTTTGTGTATTTTAATTGCCCCCCAAGGGGCGGCAGCAGCAAGATCTGCCGGTGGTGGGGAGAGCAACAAGCCCCTGAGTTACTGTTCTGTCAACAAAAGGAGAGGCGTGGAGTGGGTTGGGTGCTGCTATTTATTGAGCATTTTAGCCTTTCATCGATGCTTTCAGCTGAAATTATTTTGCTCATTTTAATTATTACGAGTATAACCGCCAAGTACAGCAGCAGCAGCAGCAGCCAAGAACAATGCCCCCACAGCGCACATAAGGGCAAGGAGGAGGTCCTGGGCGTGGGTGGAACCATTTGCAAGTGCCGCAAACACACACAAATGTTAACGGTTATGCCTCCCACCGAAAAGGGTCGCCCAGTGGTCCGTCCGCTTTGTTTTGCGGTTACTCCGAAGTCTCATCTGCGGCTCCTCCTCTGCTGCGGTGGTGTCGATGGATCGCTTGGAGGGGTTGTCGCTGTTGCCGTTTTGCGGTGAGTCCCCGAATAGTCCCCCTTGGATACAGTAAAGAAGACTTGGGTCTATGATCTTGCCCATGCTTGGGACTCTATGCAAATAACAAAATAAAATCAAAATGCGGAACAAACTCAAAAGATATCAGGTCCAGCGAGCCATCTCAGCACGCTGAAGAGTTTCTTCAGTGGCATGCCTGCACCCAGCATCTTTTTCTCGTAGCGATTGTCCGCCGTGTCCTCGGGCCGCAAGTAGAAAATGTAGCCAAAAAATATGGCATTAAGCAGCACTAAAATCAAAAAGAAATGGCGATATTTGTGCATCCAATAAGCTGTGTGAATATGAGTGCTTTCAACTGCCGTTTCCTCTACTTCATCTTTGAAATTGGAATCTAAATGCTTCCGAGTCGTTGCCAAGGCACGCCTCTCCGCCTTGGATCGCTTCTTTAGAGGAAACAATCTATTTCTGCCGCAAGTGCGATACGATAGGAAAGGTTTTCGAGCACTGGACACACCATCGATGGCAGCCTGACTGCCACTGGAAAAGTCGGTGGACTTCGCGTCCGAGCGCTGCACAAGTGTGGAATTGGATTGCATCCTGAAAGTACAACAAATTTGATTAGTTTCGGACTAAGGTCTCACCCCTCGATGCACATAATTACTTGGGCCTTGCGGCACGGCGCTTGTAAGGCATCGTTGTGGCAATCGTTCCTTATTTTTGTTCTCCTCTATCGAGTCGTGTGCCTGACGCACGACTGAAATCTAAGGGTCTGCTCTGTACATTCCTTGTCAGTGGGAAAGGAAAAAGCCTACCTTGGCGCCTGAGCTCTAACTTTCAGATGTCATCACAAAATACATTTGGCAAAATTCAAGAAATATTTTCCAGTGTCCGCAAGGTATCAGAAGTGGCCAATTTTCTGCTGGCTTGCAGTTATCGTTGCTATACTCCCCCATATATATGCTCAAGGATCTCCATTGGATCGAAGTCATGTGCGTCTTTTTCTACATCATCGTCTCCTTTCTCCTACTTCTCTGCATCACCATGCTGGTGGTGCTGGTGCATTGGAATACAATGTAGCCTCTGGCGTCGGGGCAATGTGCTGCTGAAATAAATCGTATTATTTTCGGAGTATTAGATGGACACACTTCTTCTGGGGGCTTTAGACTGGGCTAAATCTCTCTCTCTCTCTCTGGCTCCGTCTTTTGGTACTGCTCTCTGCTCACAAGTTTTTGGTGTTTTATTACGAGAAACATTTGCATACAAGACTGCTCTCGCTCGCTCTATAATTAACTGAATATTTATTACTGCGGTAGATAAAATGTTATGCGGCTATTATTTTGGTTTTATGGCCAACCAAGAAGCCAACAAGCAACCTGGTCTAGGTGGGCTTAAGCCCCAGCCAAGTCGAGTCCCTGGTTCAGCTCAGAGCGGAGCTGGAACATGAGCATGAACATGGCAGACCACCAACATGGAGGCAGCATGAATATGCAATCCGAGCCAAAATGCATTCCAAGCCAGACGCGCCAGGCCGAAAAAAAGGAGCAGCTAGCGAGGACTCAAACCACTGGAACAAGCGCCGCCAATTACGCCCACAAAGTTATTGCCTGGGGGTTGAGGGGGGATGGGGCTCCAGTTGGGTGTGAGGCAGCGCGAAACAATCGCTAATTGTTTTAGGACCCCGCCAGATGGAAGGCAATAAGGTGTGAAATTCCAGCAGCGGCTTCAGCCACCAGCCACCAGCCAACAGCCTCCACCTACAGCTACGTTTACGGTTACGGCTTCGACATCGTCGCCTGTCCAAAAGTTTTATGCCGGCAGTTGATAAGGCTGGAAAGTTGTCTTGCATGCGCGAGAATATTACGCAGTCGCCGTGTTGTCTTACATATGCCTGCGAAGGAGTATTACTCTGCTTCTTCGGAGTAATTATAAGTCCCAGAGTCCCAGAGACTTTCACGTGATGTTTGGTGGCCCCTGGCAGTCGCTCAATTTTCGCTAATGACAGCTGCCGGAATCATTCAGCAATTGGACAATAAATAATGATTTAATATACTCAGATTTCGGCGATTGTTTTGCCACTTTATAATTGCCATCCGGCGAGCAGAGTTTCCCCAATTTCACACCATTATAAGGGGACTGCTGATGGCAATTAGACACGCTACGCTGCTCGATCTGTGTCGATTGGTATAAAAGCCACTGTCCGCTGGCAGTCAGGCCATCAGTGGATCCACGGAACAGACCCAAGAACCGAACCGAAACATGCATTTCAACCTTCATTACCTGATCAGCCTGCTGCTGGTGCTGCTGTGCGGTGCTTTTGTGGTGAGTACACTCTGGGAGCGGGGAAAAGTCAAAGACAAAGGCACAGCCTTGACCCACGTTGCGTTCTCTTGTAGAGCGCCTATCCACAAGGTGGTCCCTGCGGACCACCACCCAGCGGTCCGCCGCCCTCTGGCCCGCCGCCATCGGGACGCCCACCCGGCGGACCCGGCGGACGCTGTGGAACGCCGCCCTCGACAACAGCTTCATCGGGCTAAGTTCAACAGGCTAAGATGAACAGTCCCCCAGTTCCCGGCACGACACGTTCCATGCGAAAAACTTTCTAATGCTAAGTGTACTCTCTGGGCTTTTCTTTTTTTTGCTCAATCCATTCTAAAATAAATGTGTGTAGTCCTGCTGAAACAATGGGGAGGAGTTCATCGGCCTTCACTGGCAGACGCCAAAGACTGCACTTGTGGTTGGCAGCCAGGGTGGGGGCGGGTGGGGCTGTTGTGGCTGGAGACTGCAGCTGATGTGCGGATTGGAAGTAAATGAAGTTATTAATTGGGTCAGCCGGGTGTCCGACTGGGAGCTGCACTTGATTTGATTTCTGGTGTTTATTTGACGTAAAAACTTGTACATTTGTTTGGAGTTTAAGATGCAAATCATGCAGAGGCTCAATCCATAGCCAACGGCCAACGAGCTGCCATAGGATGAAAAAGAAGCGGTTATAGATCCAGCCAGAAGATGCGAAAATAGCTCCGCCACATCTCACAGCTCAATGGCAGAGTATTTTGTTATCACCCACCAGTCGATATTTTTAAAAAATTCAGTTTTATTGCTTAGATCTGTGGCTCAGTAATAAATGAAAAAGAATACTCACACTTACACACAGTGTGGAATGAAGATGCGGATGAAGTTGAAATGTAAATTTGTGTCCGTTTCAATGATTGCAAACGGAAATGGACCCTCGCCATCTCCTGCCTTCTGCCTTGCCGTCCTTTCGTCATGGGGGGGGGGGGGGGGGAAGGATCGAAAAGGAAACAAGAAAAAAGAATACAAAAAAGGGATAAATAAAAAAAAATATAAAAATATAGAGAGAACAGCACTCCCAGCC